TATAACACTAAAACACTAAAACATTAAAACACTAAAACATTAAAACACTAAAACATTAAAACACTAAAACATTAAAACATTAAAACACAAACTATGTCACTTTGGGTACCTATATGGTACACCGTAATGAGTCTATTTTTTCAGCAACCGAAATAATTACAGCTGCTGAAAATAATTTTGGCTGCTGAAAATAATTTCGGCTGTTGAAAATAATTTCGACTGCTGAAAATAATTTCGGTTGCTGTAATTATTTTGGCATTTAGGTATTTTGAAGAGGCTGTTGAAAATATAAAAAATGCCGTAACGCCATAATGCCATAATTCGTTCTGAATTTAGGCACACATGTATAGGTTTACATAGTAAAATTTTCCGAATTGTTCTGTGACTATATAAAAATTTTCTGAAATAGCCCATAGCCCTATATATATTTATCAAATTTTTTTTTACTATGAGGTAGAGGAGAACGCTGGGGGTAATGAAAACACAGAATTCAGTTGGTCTCGCCTAAGATTATAAAAGTTTATAAAATTTAGTTTTTAAAATAAAACACCTTTAATAATAATAAGGAATATTACTATTATTTTTTAAAGATACAATTCAGCATAACTTAAAGAATTTTTTTTTTTATAATTATATAATACATGTTTATTAGCTAACATATTTGTTTGAGATTTATTGTCATACTTTTAAAGCCAATATTTTCTTATACACATATTTTTATATTAGAGCTTTGATGAAATGTCATCATTTTGATCTGTAAAAATTTTGAAAATTATAAATTATAAACATTATAAAATTATAAGAATACAAATTTTTTTTGAATTCAAAACAATAATATTATGTTTTTCTTCTATTAGATTTTTTTATTGGCGCAAATTACTTGGGCTGATTAATGCATTACCAATGGGAAATTGGGAATACTAAAGAAATATTTGGCCATATGAATTTACCAAAACAGGTTAGAATACTTAATTTACGTCAGATCCTTTTGATTTTATTATTCCGATCAGCTTAGTAATCAAAAAAAATAGACTACAATTTGCTATATAAAGACATTCTGTTCGACTAGCGAAAAAATTTTTTTGACCGGTGAGCAGCGCATCTCTTCTCATCTCGCTAGTCTATTCGTGCGCTGAGTATAACGCTCTGCGCTACAATGAGTATTTTTTTACAATCGTTTTTTGCTCGTGTAATGAGACTTATCCAAAAATAAATCATAAACTTCCAAATTTATTAATCGATTTACATTAAAAAGGAAATTACTCTTGCACAAATTGCAAACGATTTCTTCTAAGCGCTAACGATAATGGATAATGCTGAAATCGGATGATAATTATTGGATGTGTAACATCCAATTACAGTTCTATTTGGCAGGTGATACTGTACTACATATAATAATGATCGTTTCACATAATAAATATCGGGGATGATGCTGAAATTTTGACTTATTTTATTATGAAAGTTTAAATTTTTTTGAGGTGTTTTGTTCAGTTTTTTTTTTTATAGTTCGATTAGATTTTAGGGTTTGTGTTTTAATAAAAGAGTATAGGTGGATTTTAGTAGGGTTTATATTTTTAATTATCGCGCTTTTTAAATTACTGTGTCTACATTACACCGGCAATTAGAAATCTAGAATAAATGCAAATCTGTGATTGGTTTTTCTAGATTTCTGATTCCCAGTGTAATGTATAAAAATCAGTGGACACAGTAATTTGTAAAGCGCAACATCCCGACAATAAATAAAGGCTTTAAATTTAGGGCACCAACTTTGGCCCAAAGTTGGAGCATTAAATTACAGAAATGCTTGAGAAAATTTTCTTTCCGGAAAAAAATAAGAATATACTATCTTTAACACATTATGGGCGGCGAAGCCGCCTACATGATCATGTCTCTGGTTATAATAAAAAAATAACAAATATTTTTCAAATTTGTTAACATAAATTATTTCTCTTTTTGGGGTAGGCTAATTCAATATACTGCTGTACCAGTACTGCAAAAATCAAATCATTGATATTTATATAACTCACTAACCTTAAAAACTCGCTCCGCTTTAGCCGACCACTCTTTTTGGTAAAAGATCTTCAATCGAAAATTCTTTTTAATCTTATTGTACGAAATTTGCACCAATAATTGCTATGTTGTTATTTGGCACACAACCGCCTATTACTGTATTAAAGCTTCAGAGATTCCTAAATCTACAAATAACTTTTGCAAGAATAATTTAAAGGGTTTTTTAAAACTGATTGTTATTTTTAGATAATAAAAAATGCTTTTTTTTTAAAATATAAATCGGTTTTAGAATAACCAGTATATTACAGATCATTTCTATGTCGTGTAAAATCTCTGTAATAGGAAATCTAGATTTTGCCAAGAACAACTCCGTCATGCAAGCATGATACGTTCCTGGTAACTCCGTTATGCAACTACGTTCCTGATAACTCCGATATGAAGATATGACTAAATTCCTGGTACCCCAAACTAATATTCATTTCATATAAACAAAGATGAACAATTGTTAACCCAAACAGGGTACATAACTCAATAGAAAATGTAATAAATGCATAAGTGGTATTCTTGTAGTATAATTCGAGCAATGGGTAAAATAGTAATAATACCCCTTGATACCTTAATACCTCGTAAAATAATTTATAGGTATATTAGTTGTTGTTTGTAATCGTAAATAAATCACAAGTAACATAAAGTAGTTTAGGATGTCTGTTGTGATTTGAAACTTTTAACGAAAATTTAGCATGAATTTTTTTATTTGCACACTGAATTCGTTAACTACAGTATATATTCATAACGGAAATGGAAAATCCAAAACTAATATATACATTCCTTGCGATATTCATATTTGTCCTCTTATCGACGGCAATGATAATATTGCAAATGATAGAGACATCAGATAATAACATTAACATTCTTAACATTAACAATACGGCAAAATTAGTGAGTAATCTTAAGATTAAGCCTACTAACGTCGCAGAATGGAAACAAAGACATTACATAACAGGCTATCTTAATAAGGACCAGGAAATTAGGATATATATAACAGAGGTTAGTTGGTATGAATATGAACTGCGAAGTCGCAAACTCAATCATGACGGAACCTTAGCAAAGTGTGATATACCGTGTATCTGGCAAAAGAAAGATTTAAATAATATAACGTCCGAAGAGCTTAAACATGCTGATGCTTTTCTTTGTATTAATGAACCAAACTTACCAGAAAAGAAAGCCTGGGAAGGGCAAAAGTTTATACAATTTACTTTAGAACCTAAGACTTATTGCCCATACTGTCATGATGAAAACCACATATTCGATATCCTCGCTACGTACGATGAGGATTCTGATGTACCTACAAGTTATTTTGGATTGGATCCTGGAGCAATGAAAACAAAAACACCTTTTAATATAACCCAACTCCCTCCCAATTCAACACTTATTTCGTTTATCGCTTCCCGTGAGACTGAATTCAGGAAAAATTTTGTTCCAAGTCTTATGAAACATATTCCTGTCGCATCCTTCGGTGGTGTACATCATAACACTGATTGGAATATTTATCCTGAATGCGAGAGGTTAGACTTCTTTGAATCAAAGAATTGTGTCCTTTCTAAATATCCTTTTTATCTTGCAATTGAAAATTGTCAAGAAAAAGATTACTCCACTGAAAAATTTTGGATTGCGTTCGATTTGGGTAT